TACACACATCAATTGTGTAAAGCGCATTTGTACATCGTTTCTCAAAACATTTTCTCTCCATTTAAACCCCCGACATTAGGTCCTCATTTTGTGAAACATTTTTAAGGGTTGAAATGGTAAATGTATAATATATATGTCACCACAATAAAAAAGTTGAAATAATCTCACTTGAGGCTGAAATTATCTGTTGACAGCAATAACCAAAAATAAGAAAACATTTACATCCATCTATATATATATATATATATATATATATATATATAAAAACAACAGTATTCATATTATTTTAGAAAAGCAGATGAGAGATTTTTCACATTTAAGTTCCAAAAGAAAACTCCCTAATTGCCTAACACTTAATATCGCTGCCTGTATGGTGCATTAATAGGAACAATCAATCTCTTAAGAAAGATTTTTTTTTTTAGGAATTAAGTATCTCTTTGACTTTAAACCAAAGGTTTAACAGCAAACAGCACAGAGGAACATTTCTCTGTTGAGTGTTTACCGCAGTGAAGAGAAGTCACTAAGAAGGGCAGGCAGATACAAAGCTGTGTCAAGCAAACAACATATTCTATCCGATATATTACTGACAGAAAAAGGACTGATTTATGTTAGCTGTTCCTAAAGCTGTTTCTCAAAGTAAGGTAGCAGAATAGTATTGACCAGGGCTCCATCCACAAATCCAACTTTAAAAAACAAAAATCAATCACCACATTTTATTATGCTTTAGGTAAAACTTTATGTAGCAAATTTTATTTCCAATCAATAGTTTGTACAGGACATGTCCCCTGACCTGGGTTTCCATCCCCGAAATGTAGCTGCACTTTCCCTGGTTCCCCCCTGGGGTCCCAGTTTCCATTCACTTGGTTCTTGTCCCCTCGCTCTCCTCACCTTTGATTGGGGTCAGTGTTGCTTTTGGTATTGTATTGTTAAATGTTCCAAGCAGCACGTCCTCCGTGTTTGCTATGGTTTGCTTTAGGACCCGAGTGTCTTCCTCAGCGATGGTCCCCAGAAGTGTCTTCACTTTCACGTTTAAGACTGTTGCAGCGCAATTGTCATGGGGCTTCTCCAGTCCCTTTCACACCAGTAAATCTGCTCCTTTTAAAAAAAATCTAATCCATATTTTTTAACTCATTCAAATCAGAGCTTTCTAATGCGGCCTTGGAACTACTGTCTAGTTCCTCTTGTCTCGGGTTAAAAGAAACTGTGATTCTTCAAGAGGGCCATGAATCCTTTGCACTAATTGCTTCTTTCAGTGTTTGTTTTTCTCTGTTTCTTCCTTTCTCTGGGTGGTAGAGACAGACAGTTACTTCTTAGACAGCCACCCACAAATCTGTAAGGCCCTACTCAGCAGAGCAAGATGTCAACCCATATTTTTACTAACTCTGTTTTGCCATTAGACGGAGCTGTCTCCTGAGACTATGGAATCTTAGCCTTCAAATCCAGTGGTTCTACCTGATGTCTAAGTAGTTTCTGTAACTTTGTCCCCAGGTGGTCTATTATATAAATATGAATAGGTGTGTATTTACACACAGGTTTGTAAAAATAGCCACCACCATACCTATATATGTACATGGATCTACTCAACATGACCTCCCTCACCTATTTAGCATGTACTGTATATTCATCTGCATAACTACCCACAAACTACTGCTGGCTACTCTGTTACAGCATTGCATATGCTACAGCATTTCCTATGATTGTTATTTATCTTTCCTCCCTCTCACTGTCTTCCTTTGCCTTTGTTCATAATGTGCTGTCTTTCTGCTATACATAGACACTTGGAACAGGATCCATCGTTCCCAATTTCTAGGTCCAAGAACCTGAAACCCTTGGAGACACGGTCGTTATTATTTGGAGGAAGGCTACTGACCGAGGTGCCATATACCTTGCCAGGATCAGAGTTTGGTCTGACTGTCACCCACGCAAGCAAGCAAGGGGTGTTAACTGTCGGGATGGGAATGGGAGATCTGAGAGTCAGGGCTGGAGCAGCTGTGCTGACTGTGGGCTCCTGCAAGGCCACCTCAAGACTGCTGTCCAGAAATGGCTTTCGTGAGAACGTGTTCTCTTATTCTTGGTGGTCAGCCCTGGCGATAGGTCTTGAATGGGAGGGGTAGAATGGGGGTGGCAGCCATGCACAGGACAATATCCCCAGATTGCGCATTACCTTTTCATTAGACTTCATCTAGTTGACTACGTATTGATTCTCCTTCCCATTCCTCATAACCAAAGCATATTTCTCACTGTGTATAAACCATGCAGTGTTTTCTGTTCTGTTTGTTTGTTTGACTTCACTCTGCACAAGGTCCCCCAGGTCCTCCATGTGGTGCCATGTCCGGTAACTTCATCATTAGTCTTTGCCACACAGTATTCCTGTGTTCCAGTACCACAGCTTGTTTATCCATCCGTTCATCGGCAGACACTTGGGTTGTGTCCGTTGCTTGGTGATTGCGAATAATGCTGCAATCAGCACAGGGATACTCATGCTACAGCTCTCACTTCTCCAGGCTCTATCCATTGGAGTGGGTTTTCTGGGCCGCTTGCCATTTCCATTGCCAGCATTTTCGGGACGCGCCATATTATTTTCCATAGCAGCTGTGCTGTTTTGCAGATTCACCATCAGGGAACGAGAGTGCCAGTCTCCCCACAGCCTCATCAGCAGTTGATATTCTCCACGGTTGCTATCAGGGCCATTATTACCAGGGAATGATGGAATCTTGGAGTTTTCATTGGGCACTCTCAAATGGCGAATGAAAGCATCTTTTCATGTGCTTTCTAGCTTCCTGGATGTTATCTTGTGTGAAGTGTCTGTTGTGTACTCCACCCATTTTTAAGTCAGATCATTTGACTTTTTGTTGTTTCTATAAATTGTAGCAATTAGAGCCCTGTTGAATATGTTATTGACAAACCTTTTCCCCGTTCTGTAGGTACTTAAAAAAAAATCCTTTGGTGAAGTATTTTGGTAAGCATAAGTGTTTAATTTTAGTAGATCTCAGCCATCTAGTTTCCTTCTTCTTTTGGCTCATTTTAATTATGGTTGATCCCTATTTTTCTTCCATAATCTTTATACTTTTAGGCTTTGCATTTAGCTCTTTGGCCAATTTTGAGTTTGTTTTTAGGTATGAGTGTCATTTTCTTTTTTCTGTAAAATGGATGTTCAGTTTCATCAGCACCATTTGTTAAATAAATGTTCTCTTCTCCGTTAATGGACTTTGATCCTTTGTGGAAGTTCAACTGCTCCTAGGTAGGTGGATCTACGTCTGGGTTCTCAATTCTGCCCCGTCTGTGGGTCTGCTATTGTCCCTGTACCAGGCTCTTTTGACTTCTGCGACTGTAGAATCCGTTCTAGGATCAGACACTGTGAAGGAATTCAAATGTTTGAACGATTATATTGAAATGTTCCCCTTGAAAGAATCAGCGGCACTTTTACGAGGCAGCCAACTTAATTGAATTCAAAGCTCTGTGTTTGACTTGGGAATACATGCCCAGCATGCAGAGTTTAGCTGGTTAGAGATAGTGTGTCCCAAAGTATCTCTACAAGAGTCCTTCTAAAAGTTCCCTGTAATGGTATCTCTATGTATGTGTGTGTTTCATCTGTATAAATATCATTGAACATTTTGCTTTCTTCTTTATGTTGGAGTGGAATTTTTACTCAATGATGGAGAAAGTCATTAGTACCATATTTCTAGCAAGTTCTTCTTAAATTTATGTGTGTATGACTATTGCTGGAGGTGTACTTCAAATGTCTTCCTCCGTAATTAACCCCCAAATGAAATAAAATCTGAAACACATCTATTAAATATTACTTATCTGTATTCTTCACGACAAAGGGACCTCATGTTTCATAATACAGGAGTTCAATAAGCACAAAGAGACCTTGTAGTCAGATAGACTCGCACAATAGGTGAAAGCATACGAGTCAAACAGCAAGGATCAAGAAGATGACATCACAACTGGCAGCGTGTCCCTTTGTTATCCCTAAGGTCACCATACATCAACGTCAACTAGCAACAATAAATTTGTATTATATAAGCGTGTGCTGTACTATCTAATTATTAAGTTCTTGGGGTATTTAAAATAGTAATTCACTCATCAGCTTCTGGGGAAGTTGCAGCCAGTTGAATAATGTAAGGCATATTGATTCCTTCACCGATTCATTATTCTTTCATAAACCCTTTAGTGATTGTTACTAAGAGTTGGCACTGCGCCTTGGGCTCAGTAGGTCTAATAGGATATAATAGTGTGAATAAAAAGTAGCCTACATTGTAGATAGATATAGACCCAAATCCTACACAAGGACTCATTCAATATTTATTATTTGTAATAGGTCTCATGAAGAAAGCAGATGAATTGGAAATGTATTTTATTTCTTGTGTATCCAATAATATAGAATTTTAAGGTAGTCCAATCAACAACTTGACATGAGTAACCGATCAAGCTCAGAACATATTTTATTCTTGTAGCAATACAATCTATCTTAAAATTGCTGTGAACTGACAAAATCAGGTCTCTATATATCAAATGTGAAATCATGTTAGCAACTTTATCATGTGTAACTCGCTTTCTGTTTCAGGGTCTTTGGAGCTGCTATACTCCTCACCTCCACCTTGAATATGCTAATCCCTTCAGCAGCCAGAGTGCATTATGGGTGTGTCATCTTTGTTAGAATCTTGCAGGGACTTGTTGAGGTATGGAACTGCAGTAAGATATCATTTTGAAATAGTCATATTAATGATGTACAGTTATGATCTGTATACATTTCTTTATCTACATATATATATTAATTATTAGGCTGTATATATGTAACACTAAAATAGAAAAGGACTAATTTTGGTGGGCTTTGTTGTTGTTGTTTTCAATTTTCTTTACTCCTTTTTGCTCTAGTTGAAGAGAGACCAATATTCATATCTTAGATAATAATCTGTAAGCTTTTAAGACCCCAGTTGATAGTCACCAAACTAGAATGTAGAACAAAGTCCTGGTGGATTATGTTGACCTAGGTATATCCCCAGAGACTGGTTCTAAGTCCCTAAGCTTAATGATTTATTCCTTTAATGTGTATATTTAGATTTAGCAGTGGGGTGATGAGTTTTTAGTCCATCTATTGTTTGCTGGTGATAGCCCTGAACTAATATGATTTTGGAGTTTTATACTGAGGCTTTGTTGATTTGGGATCAAACTGTTAATCTTCACTGACATACTTCAACAACTGTATTCTCTGTCTTCCCGTGCTGATCAGCTTTTACTGCACCAGCCTACAGGTATTAAGAGAACACCGTATAAAGCTTTGGGTTAGGCATATCTTCTTTTTCATAGAGCTAGTAGGGAGATCAGAGAGAGTGTTTAGACACTGAAGACTGCATCTTCAAGGGGCCGACGGCTTGTGTCCCACAAAACAAGAGAAAGCAATAGGATCCAAAAATAGGCAAAAGGCTGATTGCTTTGACGGTCTTAAGGTGTAGACTAATCGTGCACTAAGTGTGAGCTCCAAGAATCTACTGTACATGTCACCCACCGGTGGAGGGAGCCTGTTTATTTGGAAATCACCGAGTTTAACCCTTCATGAAAAGGCATCCTTAATGTCTCAAATTATTCAGAATTAAAGATGCTCTGAGCATTCTTGAGTTTTTGCTGTAATCTAGAAGAAAATGGAGATGGAAGGAAGACCTAATGGGTGAGAAAATTTTGAATCTGTCCCTTAAAATAAGCTCCATCTGAGCTGTCCTATGCTGAAAGCTTGCTAGATGGCATTTCCAGGAGGTAGTGAGGGCCCATGGATGGGAGCTTTCCTTAAGACCTCATCTGATGGGAAACAGCATCAGAGGAAGAGCTGTGTTGATTTTCTAGTAACTCAGAAACCTGAATGGCAGTAAATGCCTTTCTCTCATCGCAGGGGGTTACCTACCCAGCCTGCCATGGCATATGGAGCAAGTGGGCCCCTCCTCTAGAGAGAAGTCGATTGGCTACCACCTCCTTTTGTGGTGAGTACTGGGTGAAGATGTAGCGATGGGTAAAAGTTTAGGAGAAACTTGGCTAAGAATTGAATGTGTGGTAAAGTTCACTGATGGGTGTGTATGAAGAATAGTTTTGGCCACCACGCCCATTTGTTTCATTCTACTATAGTCTTCTATATCTTATGATGTCAATTTCAGTACAGTATGTGTTTTTAGAAATCTGTTCATTAAATCATTCTATTCATGAATGGCTTACATAATACTCATGTTATCTTAGAATACGCTTATTATTTTTAATAGATAGTGCCATCTGCTTGTGTAGTCCTTTGTTCCTGTGTATAGATGTACATTATTGAGTAATTAAATAATAATGTTACATATCATTTCTAGTTTGTGTTCTTATCCTGGTTTGAAAGTCATCGATGAGTTTCGGTTGCATGAATTTCCTATCAACCTTTAATTTGTACATATGTTGTGGATTTTTTCGGTTCTGTTTTGTTTTCTGGAGGGGGCATTTCATTATATTTTTCATCCATAGCTTTCTTAAGACTTTTGAAAAAGTATTGCAATGTTTAAAAGCACTTATTTATCCATATGTGTGTCTTTTTGAGGAAGAGGGAGAGTGTATATCGATGTGAATATGCTTGCACTCGAGTGTACAAATGTGTACTTGTATGATTCAACCTCGAAGACAAGATTCCGTCAAGAATTCCCATTGGTTCACTCGCCTCCCTTCATCGATGATGACTGTTGTTTCTGCTTTAGGGTCCTATGCCGGAGCCGTGATTGCCATGCCGTTAGCTGGCATTCTTGTACAGTACACTGGCTGGTCTTCAGTATTTTATGTATATGGTAGGTTGCATTTTTGTCCGATAGTTATGAAAATGTTTGTAGACTAAATGAGAAATGGTTGCAGGCAAGAATATCTATCACTGAATATAATTTGGTGTTTCTTCATTTATTTTCCCTTCCTAAGAATTATTTCCTTACATTCCAAGTTCAAGGAAAATATTTTACTTCTATTATTTTTGCCAAAGCACTGTGGCACAGCTGTCAAGTACACAGCTCTTAACAAACAGGTTGGCAAGGCGAATGCACTGGCTGCTCTGGGGGAGAACTACGTGCTTCTGTCAAGGTCACAGCATTGGAAACCCTTTGTAACTATTCTACTTTCTCCGGTAGTGTTGCTACGTGTTGGAATTGACTCCGTGTCTATGGATGTGACTGGGTTTTGTATTCTTTCCTGAACATCGCCAGTATTTGTTCTTAAAAGTAACTACAATGATGACGGAAACTTTGTGATGCATAGGACAAATAATCTTTGGTTATAAAAATACCGAAATGATCTCTTAATCGTAAATTGAATAACACCTGATTATAAATCATGTAGCACGTGACTCTTCTTTGCTACTGATTTCCTGGTTAGCCCCTGGCTCAGCCTCCTCAAGATGGAGTTGGAGAGGTTGGAAGCTGGAAGGCAGGGGACGCGTTGATGCGGTGATTCGGTTTTGTTATCAGCAGCCAGTTGATGCAGCAGCAAACCTTGGCTCTTCAGTCCCGAGAACTAACAGGGGTTAAGCACCCAAGTTGAAGTTAGATATGATGACAATGAAACCAAAAAAATTGTCCAACCAACCAATTTTCCCCATCACCTTTTATCCAGGAGCTAAAAACTTTCCACATCAAAGTATCTCTGTAGTGTTTTTCTCCATGAAGCCTTAAAAAAATAATGAGGGAATGAAAAATGTAGGAGAGCTGGATTCCAACTGACATTGTCACTGATGAATACTGTCTTTAGGGATGGCCATGAAAATCAGGAAGATTGATGAAGTCAGGCAGTTGGATGTATCTGACTGCTTCCAAACTCACGCTGATTCATTCCTATTTTTAAAAGTTCTCATTGAAGCAAAATGCTATATTTAAAAAATCACATTAGATATTATTTCTAGCATCTGTTTCTAACTTACCTTAAGAATAATGGATAAGTTTTGGTTCCATTAAGTCTAGAAGTCATTCTTTTATTTGTGCATATCCCCCCTGCCCCACCCCAGTGAAGATGCTTCTGTACCATGTTTTTCATCCATCATTGTCTAAGACTTTCAAAAGATTTCCAAAGTAGTTTAAACACATTTATTTAGAGGGTAAATATCAAAAGTTGGAATTGGCCACTCAGAAACTCCTCTGATTGATGGTTTAACTTATTACTTAATTGAAGATATGACATGAATTTAAGAATACCAATTTGTCCAAATTCCTCATGAAGACCAATCTCATTATTTCAAGTTACACCTCATGCAATATTTATCATTGAATGGTGCAAAATCCAAGTGTCAATGTTAGATCATTTTATAATAACATATTTCTAGGTTTAACAAAAACAGGGTCATTGGGCCACATATTCAAGATTCATCGGTCATATTTTAAAATGTAGTAAATCCTACATAGTGGGTTTAAAAGAAAGTCAAGTCCATCTCCTCTCAGAAAGATTTACAGCCCCAGAAACCCTAGAGAGGGGGACCATGAGTCAGAAGTAACGCAATGACCGTGAGTTTGGTTTTTGGTTTGGGACATCGTGAGCTAAGCTTTAAAAAAGATAATGTATACAAAACAATTCGCTCGGTGCCTGACACAGAATGCACTTAGTGACTGGTAATGGTTGTTGTCACTGCATGATAGGGACTTTCCTTTACTGAATGCTACGTTTGTGTCAAGCACGGTGCTGGCTGCTCTACGCATTCTCTCCTTTAAACGTTTCTTTACCACAAACTGGTAGAATGGAAATTGTTATGCCATTTATAGTGGACATTTTAAAAGGTTCCGTTTCAGGTTTGATTGGGTAGCTTATGAATGGCACAGTCAGGATTTGAAACTGGGAGAGTCATGTAACTGTTACACGATTCCAGCTTTTCACATTATGACTGCAGTAGCAGTTGCTGCCATATTTAGTAATTAATAGGTGAATGTCCCAGCTGAAGCTGTGGTATTAAGGAGTACTTGGTCAAGATTGAGCAAGCAGAAAGCAGTATTATAAAGATCAGGGGCACTTAGACTGTTACCCAAGGGAACAAAAGAAGAACACAAGGAAACAATGAAATGTTCGGCTGCGGGGAAATTAGAATAAATCACCAGAAATTCTTTTTTATTACTAATGCTTCTTTGTTATTTATATGCTTTCATGGTGAAATAGTAAAGAAAGGAACAGACCTTGCAGGCATCTTATTGGCTTGGAACTTATAAATTTTATCTGTGTGAATATGGCAATAGCATACAATAGCATGTGCTAATAATACTATAGTATATGATCACATAAAATGTTAGATATTAGTACATTAATTTCAGAGGTTCTTCTTTCATGTAATATAGTCACTTGGGCTCAAAGAATCTGCTGGATTTTATTCAGTAGCCTATTCCTAAATCTGAGACTATGAAAAAAAGGGAATTAGCATCTTTTCTCTAGAAATGCCGATTACTTTCATATATTCAAGCAGACAAAGAATAAAAGGGTTCCTCTCTATCTTCTCTCTCAGAGTATCCTCTTTGAGGACAGGAAGTATGCCTTTTGTCATCTAGTCCACACTTAGCAGAGTGCCTGGAAAAACAGTAACTGTTCAGGCAATCCTTATTGGATGTATGAATCCATCTGAAAACCATTGATTGCTTCTTGTGTACCATACAGTTTTTAACAGAGAGGAGAGAGAGCGAGAGCCACAGGGCCAGTCTTCAGGAAGCTTGAAATCTAGTAGTAAAAAACAAGGAGAGATGGATAAAGCTAGTTGGAGGATCTTAAGTCCTCCGCTCTCCTCAATGGTTTTATGATAAGAATATTGTAGTTTTATTGCAGCAAAATGATTTTAAAGCTTTCTTTGATGTCCTCCCTTTATGCTCTTACTTACAGGAAGCTTTGGAATGGTCTGGTACATGTTTTGGCTTTTGGTGTCTTATGAGAGTCCTGCAAAGCATCCTACTATTACCGATGAAGAACGTAGGTACATAGAAGAAAGCATTGGAGAGAGTGCAAATCTTTTAGGTGCAATGGAAGTAAGAACTTTATTATGGTGTATATTTCTATTCTTATTCCCCATGCTACCTCCATTCAACCAGCCAAATTAGTTTATGAGCTTTTATTCAACAAAATTAATTGATATCAATCATGGTTTTCAAAAATCCATCCATATTCCATGAGTTATTTATGAATGCTTACTACTTCCTCTGTCTGTAATTTCTTGTATCATGCTTTATCTTTTGAGAATCTTACAGTTTGCTCTAGATTATAGTAATGACTACAAATATGATCAAGTTTTTCTAAAGCCATTTGATATTATTTAAATATATTCAATCAATATTTGTTCATATTAAAATACAGGACATTCCAAATCACCAAATGTCTTCAAAGGGATATTTTATTGATTGAATATTTTAAATGTGCGTTTTATATGTGCATGATTATATATGTGATCTAGGAACCGCTCAATCAAGAGTTGTTCAACAACAGACAACTGGCACAAAAATATTCTTAGCATAATTTAGCGACTTTATTAATAAAATGTCAGTATTTTTTTCCATTTTTTATCATGAAGGTCAACTATTGCAAAGATAATGGGAATGCATTTTCTGATTTGAATTTGGTTTCTTAGAATCTGCCTAATGCAAACACTTTAGTCCATATGAAATGAGTACACCTAAATATTAACTAATGAATAGTCATATGACATTATATTAAATAGAGACAAAAGCTAGTTAATGATTTGGTATAGTTAGATCCTGTAATTCAGCAAGCTCATTAGTAACTCAGTGTCTTTATGCTGTGTGTTTGAGGGACTAGGCCTTGGTTGGAGAAAGTGATGATCCATTATGCATCTGCTTCTACTTTCTGCAAGTTGATTCTCCCTCCCTATTTTGAATCCAGCCTCCATTCGCTGTGTGTGGCTTATCTTTGACATCTCATTCTAGAAACAAAAAGTTTGTTACACGTTATTGTTGAGCTTGGTTTAGTTTTCAATAAAAAGTCCATTCAGAAGTTAAACATCAGTAGTTAAGAACAAAGAAACCAAAAATCCTTGCTTCCTGCTTCCTGAGCTGGATGGGCTGGCATTGGAATTTCCTTCTACGGATGGACTGTTCATTTCTTTCTTGTACTGGCTATTCACAAAACAAGTTGTGGGTGTGCAGCTGTGAAGTCAGGGGATTGGCAGGATGCTCTGCTGCTCCTACCTGTCATCACTGTGTGCTTGTTATTGGTCATGACAGTCTATTCTGAGTCACGTCATCCATATTTCAGCAGAGCGGAACTGCTCGTTGTGATTTTCAGACGGTTTCCTTTTGGAAATGGATGGCCAGGGCTACTTCCCTAGGTGTCTCTGGTAGGGGAGAACCACCAACCTTTCAGCCAGTAACCTAGAACTGAACTATTTATGGCACCCTGGCACTTACAGCAGCAGCTGGGAAGGGGAAGGAAAGGTAGGCGTATGTGCGGTGAGTTGCATACTTCACCATACTTATTCAGTCTGTGAGCTGAGCAAATCGTCCCAGGCTCTGAGCAATATGAAGTGCAGCTGCAGGAAGATTGAAGGAAGGTTTATGAACAGCCTGTGATAGGCAGATCACACAACCTTACTGGCTGGAAGCCAAGAAGACCAGAAACACTAATGAAGAGCAAAGACTACAACTTTCAGTGCGTATTCTCGACGTAAAGAAAACCCAAATCCTCACAACGGGGACAATCAATAATATCATGATAAAGGGAAGTTCTCAGTTGTTTCATGATACTTGGATCCACGATCCTTGCTTGTGGAAGTAGCAGTAAAGAAGTCAATGATATATTGAATTGGGCAAATCTATTGCACAAGACCTATTTTTAAAGTGTTAAAGAGCAAATATGCCACTTTGTGGACAAGGCCTACCTGACCCAACCCATGATCTTTTCAATGGCTCCTTATGTATATTAAAACTGCAAGAGGAATAAGAAATACTACAGAAGAATTAGTGCATTTGAATGGATATTGATAAAGAATATTGAATATAACATGGACTGCCACAGAAGAACAAACAAATTTGTTTGGAAGAAGTACGGCCAGAATGCTCTTAGGACGAAGGATGGTTAAAATTTTGCCTCAGGTAGTTTGAACATGCTATCCTGTCCAAACCAGTTCCTGGAGCAAAGTGCTTGGTAAAGGACCCATGAAAAAGGAGGCCCTTGACAGAATGGGTTGAAACAGTGGCTGCAACAATAAACTCAAACAGGAAAGATTTGGAGGCTGATTCAGGAAAAGGTAGTAGTATTTTTTTCTTCTGCAGTCTTTTTCTACTACGTCGGTTGCTATCCGTTGAGACCAACTCAGGGACACCGAGTGGGTGCAGAAGCAAGGTTGAAAGATCTACTTCAAAAAAACCAACTATGGCAAGCCTCTTGAGCACAGCTCTACTATGAAAACTCAGGGTTTTAGATCTATGTACATATATTTGTAGGTTTAGTAAGGCAGAAGATGGACATTGGACCTCCACTCAAGTACTTACTCAATGCAAGAACACGTTGTTCTATTAAATTGGCATTCCATGATGCACATCTTTCCAACACGATCGCTGAAGACAAATAGGAGCATAAGCACATGTGGTGAAGAAAGCTGATGGTGCCCAGCTATCAAAAGATACAGCATCTTGGGTCTTAAAGGTTTGCAGATAAACAAGCAGCCATCTAGCTCAGAAACATCAAAGCCCGCATGGAAGAAGCACACCAGCCTGTGTGACCACGAGGTGTAGAAGGGACCAGGTATCAGATATCAAAGAACAAAAAATCACATCAGTGGATTCCCACCTTCACGATAAGGTCACTGAAGACAAATGTGTGCATAAACAAATGTGGTGAAGAAAGCTGATGGTGCCTGGCTATCAAAAGATATAGCATCTGGGGTCTTAAAGGCTTGAAGATAAACAAGCGGCCATCTAGCTCAGATGCAACAAAGCTCACATGGAAGAAGCACACCATCCTGTGTGAACACGAGGTGTTGAAAGGATCAGGTATCAGGCATCAAAGAACAAAAAATCATATCATTGTAAGTGTGGGTGAGTGCAGAGTGGAGACCCAAAGCCCATCCATAAGCAACTGGACACCCCCTTTCTGAAGGGTTGCAGGGAGGAGATAAACCAGTCAAGGTGCAAGGTAGCAACGATGAAACATGTAACTTTCCTCTAGTTCTTAAATGCTTCCTGCCCACATTATCATGATCCCAATTCTATCTTAAAATTTTGCTAGACTAGAGGATGTACACTGGTACAGATAGAAACTGGAAACACAGGGAATCCAGGATGGATGATCCCCTCAGGACCAGTGGTGAGAATGGCAATACCTGCAGGGTGGAGGGAAGGTGGGGTAGAAAGGGGGAACCAATTACAAGACTCTACATATAACCTCCTCCATGGGGGATGGACAACAGAAAAGTGGGTGAAGGGGGACGTTGGACAGTGTAAGATAGGACAAAATAATAATAATTTATGAATTATGAAGGGTTCATGAGGGAGGAGGGAGTGGGAAAGGAAGGGGGGGAATGAGGAGGTGATATTAAGGGCTCAAGTAGAAAGCAAATGTTTCGAGAATGATGATGGCAACAGATGTACAAATGTACTCGACACAATGGATGTATGTATACATTGTGATAAGAATTGTATGAGCCCCCAATAAAATGATTTAAAGAAAAAAAAGAAAACTCAGGTTTTTTGGAGACGGAATCAATGCCAGGACAACTGTTTGGTTTAGTATGTATCTCCCATAACTGTTTATTCTGAGTATGGAGTCCATGAAAAATTACACATTGCAGTTCACATTAATATCTCTTTATTTTGTTTAAAATGAAAACATTTAAATTTAACATGCATATAGAAGAAAGGACAGATCATAAACAACACTTTTCTGATTTTTATAAACTTAGTATACCCATGAAAGCCAGTACCCAGTGGAATGCTTCCACAAATGCACCACTCTGGCTCTTAGTGATTGTTAAGGCACTAAATTAGAAACTTTTAAATTTGATGAAGTGCTTTACAACCAGAAGAATAAAGATTTCTGCTTGGTAGAGATTGTCTTGCCCTGCATAAAAGAAAGCCCTTAACAGGAAAAGTTATTTACTTCTAGTATTTCGAAGTCACTTCCTGGAAAATCGTAATGCTATATTAATACGACTACATTAATAATTATGGAATATAATGCAGCCTTTATATAGCCGGCTATTTTTATCTTCTTTGATATAAATGTATTCATCTGGTACCATTTTCTGGGAACACATTGAAATGTTGGGGAAATAGCACTTTTAAAATTCATCTATACAGCTGTAAAACTGCACATTTCTCTTGCATGCCACAGTATTCATTTATATACAATTTTGACAGGTTTGGGGTTTTGTTTTGTTTCTCTTTTGAATTATATGTACCTGTGGCGGTACAATATAACTTTATTATATTGCTTTTGAAGTGTTCTTTTAAAAACTTAATTACAGCCATAAATTATACTTGTAATTTTGAGAGCTTACCTTGAAGAACAATGACAACATCTGTCCCAAAAATGTCTTGCTGCATTCGTTACTAACCTGGATAGGTCAAATATTCCAAGTTAGCATTTAAATGAAGTGGTTTTATTCGCATCCATTATTAACCTGGATAGGTCAAATATTCCAAGTTAGCATTTAAGTGAAGTGGTTTTATTTTACTGTTTCATCCTCAGGTGGTATTTTTTTAATAAATCATTTTATTGGGAGTTCATACAGCTCTTATCACAATTCATCCATCCATCCATTGTGTCAATCACATTTGTACGTATGCTGCCATCATCATTTTCAAAACATTTTCTTTCTACTTGAGCCCTTTGTTTCAGTTCATTTCCCCCCTTTGCCCACCCTCTCCCTCTCATGAACCCTTGATAATTTATAAATTATTGTTTTGTTCATGTCTTACACCAACTGCTGTCTCCCTTCTCCCACTATTTTGTTGTCCATCCCCCTGGGAGGGGCTTATATGTGGATCATTGTGATCAGTTCCCCCTTTCTCCCACACCTTCCCTTCTCCTCCTGACATCACTACTCTCATTACTGGTCCTGAGGGGTTTATCTGTCCTGGATTTCCCATGTTTCTAGCTTTTATCTGTACCAGAGTACATGGTCTGGTCTAGCCAGATTTGTAGAATTGGAGTCATGACAGTGGTGGGGAGAAGGCGTGAGGAAGAATTAAAGAACTAGAAGAAAGTTGTATGTTTCCTCAGTACTATACTGCACCCTGACTGGCTCATCTCTTACTTGTGACCCTTCTATAAGGGGAATGCCCAATTATCTACAGATGAGCTCTGGGTCTCCTCTCCCCCTCCTCATTCACATAGATAGGGTTTTTTTGTTTTGGGTCTTTGATGCTTGATACCGGATCCCACTGACACCTCATGATCACATAGGCTGGTGTGCTTCTTCCATGTGGGCTTTGTTGTTTCTCAGCTAGATGGTCGCTTTTTTTTATCTTCAAACCTTTAATATCCCAGATGCTATATCGTTTGATAGCCAGGCACCATCAGCTTTATTCACCACGTTTACTAATACACCCATTTTGTCTTCAGCAATTGTGTCTGGGAAGATGAGCATCGCAGAATGCCAGGTTATTAGAACAAAGTGTTCTTGTTTTGAGGGAGTACTTGAGTAGAGGCCCAATGTCTGTCTGCTGTCTTAATACTTAACAAATAAATATATGTACATAGATCTATTTTGTTTAAAGTAAAGTAATTGAGAAATTGTTCTGATATACAAGAGACAATTTAGACATAGTAGTCTTAAAAATAGTGGATTTATATTTGGGAATATGCAAGATCTTTAAGTACACTAAATAAAAATTTTAAATAGCTTTTAATGAACCAATCATATTTAGGTTGTTGAATTTGAATGTAGCCTAAATTTTATAAATTTCAAATAATTATGAATATCATAAATAACTCATTATGATGGACTCATAGATAGCATGCTAGATAGATAACCTCTATCACCTAGCTGGGTTCATTTTTGAATTTTCTGAACCTTGCTTGTTACCCATTGGCTATCAAGATAATTTATTTATAGATGGAGAGTGGAATCCTGCATAAGTAGGTTCTGGAGTTACTGCTGCATCTTTTATTTTGTCATCACTTTCTCTTCCCAGGTATATTACATTTTCAGAAAGTTTTGGGGAAAATCTTTTTTTTTAATCATTTTATTAGGGGCTCATACAACTCTTATCCCATTCCATACACACATCAATTGTGTTAAGCACATTTGTACATTCATTGCCCTCATCATTCTCAAAACATTTCCTCTCCACTTAAGCCCCCGGCATTAGGTCCTCATTTTTCCCCTCCCTCCCCGCTCCCCCCACCCTCATGAGCCCTTGATAATTTATAAATTGTTATTTTGTCATATCCTGCCCTGTCTGACTTCTCCCTTTACCCACTTTTCGGTTGTCCGTCCCCCAGGATACCTATGAGGTCCCTGATTTGACAGTGAATTTTAAGTGATCACTAAAATAAAACAAAAAACATAAAATAAAAACAAACACAAAACCAGTACTCTAGATGTCTGTATTTTGCTGTATTAGAAACATGTAACTTTGCGTAGTCTGAATGCTGGAACAATTTCATCAGTGGAGAAGCTGATGAACTGAAGTTTTTCAGAAGCTGTTGATTGTTTAGACATCCTGGCCTGCAGGGACTATTGGAATGAATGGCTTGCTACCATCCTACAGCCTCCTTATCTCCAACCATACTCATCCTGAAGATGTGAAATACTGTTGTACCCACTTAAGTCAAACAAAACAAACTTTAATTGATCAGAATCATTCTCTTTTTGGGATTGCAGAAATTCAAGACTCCTTGGAGGAAATTTTTTACATCTATGCCTGTCTATGCAATAATTGTGGCAAACTTCTGCCGAAGCTGGACTTTTTACTTACTGCTTATTAGTCAGCCAGCATATTTTGAAGAAGTCTTTGGATTTGAAATCAGCAAGGTATGTGTGTGTGTGTGTGTGTGTGTGTGTGTGTAGTTATTTAAATAGTGACCTACTTTTGCAATATCTAATTGAATAAGTTCTTTTTCCCAAGATTTTATCTTCTAAGTTTTATGAATATTCATTCTCTTATTTTCTGCTTATTCAATAAAATACAACTTCTGGGAAACATTTGGTGCAGGAAATATCTATAACACAGAACTAGTCCCTGCTTCTGTGGGGCTGACATCCCAATTATCATGGATAGCAGTATCACCTTCCTGTAGATAACTATGTCTTTAAGTCTCAGGCCTATAACAATATCATCATAAGGAAAAAAAATTCCATTCTAACAAAATTATATTCATATCATTATAAATCTAGCTCTTTCTTCTTCATTTCCAATGCTCTAAGAAATCTGTTTAGAAAAAAATAAGACAGAAAGATAGAGAATTATATCCAGAAAATGTCTTGTACTGATTCATTCAATTTAGCAAGCATTTATTGAGCATAATATATTAAGTTTTGTGTTACATTCAGACGTAAAATATGCTCTGTCCTCAATGACTTTAACAGCCTGGTGGGGTAGTTAAAAAATAAGTTACTAATTATAGTGTAGATTTTTAAGTGTCACAGTTATATATGCCTATGGAAATGTAATACTTTTGAGATATTTAGATAAAGAGAAAATGAAACAAAATACTCTTTTCTATAGAAGCTTGGAATGGATGAGACATTTTCAGATCCATGAACAACCTTGTCTGGTTGGCCACTGGATGGCTGTCATCCTTTCTACTTAACACATGGTGAATCCGAAACTACGGAAGGCATTTAATTTATGGAAGATCATGCTGATAATAAATGACATAATCAGAATTAGGCCCAGATCCTTTGATAGATATTTAAATTCTTTGCACTGTGCCATTCAACTTCATTTAAACCATATATTCAGTCAAGCATTTAGAAAGTATTTATCAAATGCCATCTAAGTACTAGGCCTTTTGCTCAGCCCTAAATACACTTATCGGTAATGGCAATAGCTTTACCATTTCTCTTGATGTCTTTGCACAAATCCAGCTGGGTTCACTGTTCATATTATGCCTATACGTGAAAGACTATCCATGTCCTGGGACTAAAGAAAATCCAAGTCTAGGAGCAGCTATTCTAAGAGCCCTTTTGTCATCCCTGTTTCTAAGGAAACTGTTTCCTCCATCACTAAGAGGAATGGCTGCTGCAGGCAGGGCTCTTCTCTCTGGAACTAATCAAACATTGCAGGGCACCCTTAGAGAGCTCTCAGAGGTGTTACACTGCTCAACAAAGGCTGCCAGAGGTGTTAGTCCATTTCCATAATCTAGGACGAATGCGACACTGAGAGGCTATTAATAACATCAGATATCACAGGGATGAAGGGGGGGATTGAAGCAACCTACTGATGTTAATAAAACTGTGTGGTCACTCTGGCCTTTTGGCTTCAGTTACTTGAAAATACTTGAATAAAAGCAGTGACAGTTCGAAAAATCTAATTATAATAACCAGATGGGTTGATTTAATTCACCTGTTATATTTTTAACTAAAATCTTGGGTAAATAGATTTATTTGAAGGGTTTAAATATAGTAGGAAAATACCTCTCATGTGAAAATGTTTAGAGTTAGTGATGAAGGAAGAGAGCGTGAGCTTTGGAGCAAAGTTATGAATCCAAGCTCCAAAACACACTATCAGTACATAGTCTTGGGAAATATCCTCATCAATTATCAGCCCTAATAGTGATGAGGGAAGAAAGCATGAGCTTTGGAGCCCAGTTTTGAATCCAAGCTCCACAACACGTTATCAATACATAATCTTGGGAAATAGTCTGGTTAATTATCAGTCTTAATTTTCTTATCTATAAAGTAATGGTACTAATGCCTTCTTTCAAAGCTTTAGCAAAATTCAAGTGAGATAAAATATGCACATGAGGGTTCTTTTCTACCTGTGTCAGATTGGGGATCTACAGACAAATCACATCATTTTGGCTTAGTACGCAGTCCAGACGTACTGGCTCCATTAAAGCAGAATTCTAGCACTCATTACCATTGACTCGATGCGGACTCATGTCGACCCTATAGGACAGGGAGGACTGCCTCTGTGAGTTTCTGAGCCTGTTCCTCTTTACACCGTAGAGAGTCTGTCTTTGTCCCTCAGAGAACCTGGTGGTTTTGAACAGCTGACCTTGGGGGATGCAGCCCAACACATAGCCACTGTGACATCAGGGTCCTTACAGATATATAACCAGTGCTGATTGTAATATGCTTAGCTCCTTAAGAATGGCATATCAAGGAGGAAGCATATGCTAGAATTAACCAGGAACTGGATTGTAGGAGCCAGACACAAAGAAGAGACACTCATTCACATCCAGCTTCAGATTTGAGAGACGACAATAGTGTTCCATGGCCACTCTTGGCCCTGGGAATCAGCCAGGTTTCTGAACCAAATAGGGATCGATAGAGAACAAGGAAATCTAGGCGATGACCCAGAGAAGTAAAGAAGAGGGTGAGCTAAAGCCTCAGAACCTGGGTGTTTTATGAAGAATCAAGCAGTTAGTTATAGATTCAAACTTGAAGCCTATGCTTGCAAAGCCTTAAGGAGGCCTGGTGGCAGAATGGGTTATCCTTTGGGCTGCTGACCACAGGGTCAGTCATTCAAACTCACCAGTCATACTTGGCGGACTGACGAGGCTTTCTTTTCCCATCAAGATTTACAGCCTGAGAACCCCACACAGGCAGTTCTAGTCTGTCCTGCAGGGTCATTAGTCACCGGAGCTAACTTATGCCAGCGAATGTTCTTTTCTCCCAATATTGCCTGAGCAAACAGTTGTGCAGGTATCATGAATTATATGGTAAGAAGATTTTGATCATTCTGATCTTGTGGCAAGCGATTACTCATAGTACACCCAAAGCTGAGAATACAGTTGAGTACATTTTAGGAACTTTTAAATGTCTACTAAGATCACATGTAGAATATGTTTGTATATTGCCTAAGGACACAGGAGTTTCAATATGCTCAAATGTCAAATCAATGGGCTAAAATATCCCCAAATTTATGTCTATTCAGCTTCAATTGTTAGCTCTTTGCATTTCTCATAGAGCTTGGCATATGTCTTTTTGCTAAGGGAATAAATCGATGAAGTCATCAAATGTTTCTTTGAGTAGATAGTAAACAGCAGAGAATATTCAATTTAAGGACACCTGAGAAATCACAGATTCTTGATTAAAATATAGTTCAGTTACATGGCCTTAGGAAAATCAAGTCATTATCAACCTTTTATTCTGGTGTTGCTGTCAGTTAACCATTGGACTAGTAACCTCAAGGTTGGAAGTTCAAACTCACTAATTGCTCCTGGGAAGAAAGAAGAGGCTATTTGCTCCCATGAGATTTATGGTTGCGAAAACTTTGGTTGTTTTGAGTCAGAACTGACTTGATGGCAGTAGGTTTGAGATCTTATTATAAATGTCACATGCAGTTCTATGAAAATTCTAACATGATGCTTTCCTGAATGATTTGAAGATTTCCTTTCATAAATTAATTACTTTAAAGGTCCTTACTGCAATTAAGGGTAAAGAACCACTTTATTTTTTCCCCAAGATGTTTCACAAAAGCAGGGGTGTTTGGCCTCATGTTAGTGAGCTTACAGCTTTATTTGGGTCATATTTATTGCATTTCTAAGTGCCAGGCTTTCAGCTGCTCTGAGTACATTCACGTATATTGTCTGGTTCTATCTGATTTGTATCTCTCCAACAGCAGTGGTGCCTCACACCGAGAGTAAGAGCTGGGGTTTGGGATTGGAATGTTGTTGTGCCATCAAGTCGGTTCTCACCCACCGCGACCCCATTGCACATAGAATGATTCCCTGCTGGATCCTGCACTCTCTTTAAAATTGTTCCTATGCCTGAGCCCAGTGTCAATCCATCTCCTTGAGAGCCTGCCCTTTGTCTCTGTCCCTCTACTTGACTGAGCAGGATGTTCTTCTCCAGGGACTGGCCTCTCCCAGAGTAACGGACACAAAACGTGGCTCTGACAACCACTGACCCCTTCTAAGTGTCAGTTTCCTCATCAATAAAATGGAAGTATAATAACAGTAATCTCCACGTGGGGATGAAGAGACAAGTAGATTACTCCAAGCTATTTTAGGGCTTCACTGCTTCAATTAAACCTCACACTAACCCAACTCCATGAGCACTATTCTGGATATGACTGTAAAATTAAACAGAATCATTGTTTCAATCTTTCACTAATCTAATTGGAAAGACATAAGTGTACACAACAGTAGTGTCCATGTCACATGCCAGGAACATTTCACCACGGTGCACCTTAGTTAGAAAATCCCTACATTGAGTCCTACATTACCAAGTATTTGTATGTAGTAATAGATGTTTGAAATGCATTTCCCTCACATGTCCTGCTTTCATGGTTCCGAGAAAGGTGTCTTTCACATAATTAATAGTAAAAATAAGAGCACGTGTTGAACAAATGGTAGTTGGCTAAGTTTTAAAATAAGCTGTTTAGTTGAACATTAATATAGAGATGATATACCACTGTGTAGTCCTGTGACCAAGCACTGCTATTTGAAACAGGAAATGGTTAACGGAAGAATTGATCTGGTTTTTCTGTACTCACTGTATATAGAAATTAAAACGATGCTAGAAACCCATAAGATATGTGTGTACATTATATATTTAAGATGAAATGAAATGTTTTACTTTATTATGAATCTAAAAATACAACTGCTTCAGTTTTTCACAATGTATGTCTCTGTGCTCGCTCTCTTTTTCCCATTCCCTCTTTCTCATGGTCTACGCTCAGTTTCCTTCCCTCTCATCAACCTGTGAAAATATATGTGAAAATGTAAACTGGACACAAATATGAATCATTTTGTGATAAGATAAAGGATGGTGGATCCATAAACACTATTCGTGACTCAAAAACACAGTAATAAATAAGTATTTTCTTCTGGAAAACATAAAGGGGCCAAAACAAATTGACACTGCTTTTAAATTTTATCATATTATAGCTATTACTTATGGGATAAAGGCACGGCTTTCGATTCCCATAAGGAGTGACAGGCTTGGAACCCACAAGGGTAGGTCTACCTTGTCCTGCGGTGTTGCTATGAGTTGGCATTGGCTCAAAGGCAGTGAGTTTGGCTCGTGACTTTGAGTTACTGCTTATCCAGTGATGAGTACACAGTCATTTGGAGATCCTTTTTTCTTCTTCTTGGTCTGTACGGAGTTCATGCTGGATTCAGAAAACCAAGATTATGAAGTGATTCACATTTGAATGCTCATTTATATGGCTCTCCTTGCTTGTCACCAGGTTGGCATGCTGTCTGCTGTTCCACACTTGGTCATGACAATCATCGTGCCTATTGGAGGTCAGATTGCGGATTTTCTAAGAAGCAAGCAAATTCTTTCAACTACTACCGTGAGAAAGATCATGAATTGTGGTGGTATGTATAAAATGGCATTAAGTCCATGGTTTTACTTCATTCAGCTCTTAGCTACATAAATGAAAACATTTTAAGTATGTCATAGTATATAGTTGCAATTAAAACTGTGCTTTATTTATTTAAAGTCATCCCCCAGCTCACTTCAAACTCCTCATTAATCCATAATAACTTATCATTTTTATTCTTTGTGAATCACTTGATCCTTCATTCATCATTGAAACCTTTGGTTGCTTTTGTTGTTTTAATACTATTAGGAAAACCAATCATCATAATTGGTAATCATCCAATATTGTGACTAGTATTATTTGACATATAGTCCCTGCAGTGGAATTGCTAGACCAATAGGAATGGCTGTTTTAGCACCGGAGGCTCATTTGTACCATGTACATGGGTTTCTCAGTTGTTTCCATGTGTTCGTTCGGGCAGGTTTTGGAATGGAAGCCACGCTCCTCCTGGTCGTGGGCTACTCCCACACTCGAGGGGTGGCCATATCCTTCCTGGTCCTGGCTGTGGGGTTCAGTGGATTTGCCATATCTGGTAAGATTTTTTTTTTTACCTGCAGTGTCTTCAGTTTTAGCTTATGATAGCAGATATATTTCCTACTTTGCTCTTCGGTATTTTAACTGTTGAAATGTGTTCTCTGCATACTTGAGTAAGAAAAGGAAAAACTAAAAGTGATTTAGATTTGATCCCACTCACTTTTCCCTGTGAATTTCCCTCCTATTATACCCCCCTAACCAAAAAACAAAAACAAAAGTAGCCTTAGAACATTTTCTCCTCCCTGTGGAGGAGAATTATTTAAGCCATGTGATAGGTGAACACTGGGTGAGAACTTAGACCTCACTCCATTCTCATCAGATCCCTGAGCTAAATCATCAGAACATAGGGACCAAGCACATGCTCGGTGCTTAGTCCCTTGTAAGGAGTTGTGGTGAGTACAGTAGAGAATATTTTATAGGCACTTATTTCGAAGAGGTTTCAGAGTATCTGAGTGAAAACTTATGTGTGTGTGTTTCAGGTTTCAATGTTAACCACTTAGATATTGCTCCAAGATATGCCAGTATCTTAATGGGCATTTCGAACGGTGTTGGCACATTGTCAGGGATGGTCTGTCCGATCATCGTTGGTGCAATGACAAAGAACAAGGTAAGAGAGAGCAAATAGATATTCAGCTGTAGAGGATTCTCTACCATGATTGGGGAAATAGTTAATATATCTTTGGCAATCTTTCACTGGGGCAGTAACCTCACCTCTAAATAAGGAAGGTGATCAGAACTCAGGAGAAAATATCTCCCTAGCAATTCTTCTCAACATCTTTTAACATTTTTTGGGTAAGCTCCTGGTATGGAGAAGATCTTCTTACTGTTAGACTAGCAGGAAAGACGGGCAGAAGCTTTCTGAGCTCTCTCTATAAACCTCAGTAGAGACTCCTTTGCAGTTACCGATGGAAATAGCTTTTTATAACTTATCCGCTTTTACATAGTTTCACAATCAGAGTTTACCAGAAGATAATAAAAGGAGTAGGCAAAATTGATATTTAAGTCAATGGAAATTAAAGGAGAGATTATGATTTTCTAAAAATTAACAGACCAAATATATATTTGAAAACGTATTTCAAAACTTAAAATTTTTAAAATTCAATAATGAGAATCATGATATCTTAGAAAGTTATGTTTTATTGGCATTTGGTTCATTTGGCCAGAATTTAGGTTTCCCTTTAAGCTAGTGTTTATGAAGAAATTGATAACGATGTTTTCAGTGAAGATGTAAAGCTTTCAATGACATGGAGTTTGCTCTTAAAATGCTGCTTTTCCTTACTGCAGTCGCGAGAAGAATGGCAGTATGTCTTCCTGATTGCGGCTCTCGTCCACTATGGTGGAGTTATCTTTTACGCAATATTTGCCTCAGGAGAGAAGCAACCCTGGGCAGACCCCGAAGAAACAAGTGAAGAAAAGTGTGGATTCATTCATGAAGATGAACTTGATGAGGAAACAGGGGACATTACTCAAAATTATATAAATTATGGTACCACTAAGTCCTATGGTGCCACAACACAGGCAAATGGAGGTTGGCCCAATGGATGGGAAAAGAAAGAGGAATTTGTACAAGAAGAAGTTCAAGACACATACACCTATAAGGACCCACATGATTATTCATAACAAAGCTAACGGATGGATTTATTTTTAGTGTTCGTGATTAAATTAATTGTGATTGCACAAACACTTTGAAAAATGTGGTGTAAACATGTAAACATATCAACCTGGCAAGTCTTGCTGTAAAAATGAAATCAAAACAATCCCATGAAGTTACCATCAAGTGCAATCTGTAGAAGTTGTGAAACCCATCATTTCCATTCCAGCCATCCGTTCTTGCATTTGTGATTGACAGGTTGACTGGTCAAAACTGTACAAGCAAGTAGTTACTCATTGGGTCCATGGGAGCTAAAACTCATCACCATTTAATGAAGCACAACTAACGCAGGTGGCTCATTCCATATCACACAAAAAAGTTAGGAAGCCAAAGCTAATTGATTGTGAAAAATGCACTTATATATTTGTTACACTGTTGCAAGATATCACACAAACATCATGCTTGACAAAAAGTAAAACTCTCATGGTTGCTGCATCAGACATTGGCGACTTTTATGGCGTGTCAATCACCGAGTAGGACTCTGTCTCAATTGGAGAAGTATATCGTGAGCTAGCAACTAGCAAGGTGTCTTGAATAATTACTGAGATTATATGATGTGAGATATTTTGTTGGACTTCTAAAAGGAGTATCTTACAGTGTTTTATATGATATGCTGGGCACAAATATTTATTTCTGTGAAAAAGACCTTACAAAGTGAGGGGTATGGCTCACATTCTTCCATTCATTTACCTAACAGTATAAAGCACTCTACATTTCAATAACATCCAACTTTTCATGTAGCATATCAGATAACTTTTTTGCAAAAAATATATTAAAAATAAATAGACTTCAGTGTATTTTTTATTACAACTTTGTACTGGTTGTAACTTGCATTAGGAAAAAAGATATATACACCTTTAAGAATCTAATAAAAATTACTAATGAGATATAGCCCTTAAAATGCAATATTAAAAACAAAGACACTATAAAATCATTTAGACATCTTTCTTCCTTAATAATTAAATGCTATATGAAACTTGTGCCACAGAGCTATATGTAATATGAAAAGATTAATTTAATAGAGCTGGTGTAAGTAGAAAACTTGAATATTTAAAGTCCCATTTAAAAGATATTTGTTTAAAATATATAAGATGAGTAATTATATTAAAGTTATATCTATATATCATACATATCCATGCACAGAAACATACTAAACAATCTTCACACAAAGCCAAAAATAACATACACCTAACGTTGGGTTCGGGGACTGCAATTTCTACTTTCATAGAGTCATAGAATTTTAGATGGGGAAGAGGCATTTTGCTTGTCATTTCTTAATATAACTCAACAGGAATTGCAACATTTGTGTACCAAGCAATAAGTGCAATGCATAAAAGTTCCTGTCTGTATATTACCTTCATTTTGCTTATGGTAGCTGTTTGGGTGATTGGAATGATTCCTTTTTCATTTTAAAAAGTTAACATCAGCTCGCTTTAATGTTCTGAAATGATACTACTGCATTTCCCAATTCCACCCTGAATATTCTTGGTGTACTTAGTTGCTCTTCCGGATATCTGATCTGTTCCGTGTATTGTGCTAGTGACTGGAGCCCTGCTACTGCAAATATACAACATAAAGTTTGTTACAAACATGCAAGCCATTATTGACCTTAAGAACAATAAATCTTTTGCTTTGTGTCTCAAAGTGATGTAATGTGGTCATAGCTTTTGTTGTGTTGAATGAAAAGGTGTGGACTGTCATTTTCATTGCTGCAAAAGAAGTGTTAATAAAATGCTCTATTTACCTTTTTGTAAAAAAAAAGTAGATTCATTTGGGCTTATTTGATTTAGTTTGTAGTCTTTACATGAATTGAGCTTGTAGATATGCCCCAAACAATGTCTTTTCTTGGGGAAAACAGCCTGTTTTAGCAACTTGAAATTTAATGGAGGAACATGATATTCTTTAGATTGCACAGAACGTAGTTCTGTAGAAAGTTTTAAATCAAGATGTAGGTTTCTAAGTCTAGCACTATCTTTCAACAATAGCTCTCTCATGACTGCTGCTAAGCATAAAGACTAAAGTAACACACAACATGTCACGTCAATGATACTGCCTAACACGGATCACACACATGCCCTGTCCTGGACCCTGGAGCAGTGGACAAGCCTGTGGAACACGGATCTCCTCTAAGATCGGGGCCTGGCCACCTGAAATAGAATTGACTGGACAGTACCTATAAAGCACCACAATGACTTTCCTTACTAGGAGCCTCTATTTCCAGCTCATAAGTTAAGGAGCTAAAGCCCAGATTGTTGAAATAACTTTCCCAAGGTAAAATAGTACCATGGCATTCCATGCTAATGTTTTTGTCGAATCTTCAGGCAGTGAGCAAGTTATCCAGATAGCCAATAAAATATCTGTAGTGGATTCCACACTTAGCAGATTCACATAATGGGAAGATTACAATTATATAGCATTCACGTGTGAGGCTGGGAGAACTTTGCTGTTTCAAGGGATTTATGCGATGATTTAGCTGACTCCCATAATTTAACAAATGAGGATCAATAAGGGGAACTCCTGATCCAATCAAGAGGGCATAGGCAATCTTCTGGATCTGGAAATAAATGGTTATAATTTGCCATGTTTTAGTTTTTTATATTTATATTATTTTTTCACCAAGTAATTGTATCGAAGGCATTCATTAGATGAATTATTTATTTATTATGAACCCTGGGGGCACATGGGGGACAAGTTGGGCTGCTAACTGCAAAGTAAGGAAGCAGTTTGAAACCGCCAGCCAGGCTCCCTGTCCTCCCCAGTCAGGGTATGTGGGAAGAAGAGGGGAGAGAACATGCTTTCTCTCAGTCTTCTCCACAAGGACACACAGCCAGGGACCCCACCTAAGTCCTCAGGAGATCATCATGCCACCTCCACGGACCTTGGTGACTGGAATGCAGTTCTCTACACTCAAATGCTACAAAATTCCATCACGTGAAAGTTCACATCCCGCTTCAGAAGGTTGGCCTGATGATATCTCCGACGACGACCACTGGCCAAGCTCACGTCCTTCTCTCTCGATCCTGTGAAGTCATCACTCTCTCCTCCTCATTCTCGCTCCCTCCTTCTCATCCTAGCTCTTCAGCTTCGTCCTGATTAGCATCGATCTAGAAGTTTGAAATGTGCAAAATTTGCAAAATATATTTTCATACACAACCCTGTTTTTCCTTCCCAGATGCCTTACAGATAGCAAGGCCCTTTATTATTCTTCCTTCTATTTTCTTTGCAAAAGACTGGGGTCTCAGGATGTGATTAACTTCAGAAAGAGTCCCAAGTAGGGAAAGGGCTAGGATAGGGATCTTTTGTTGTAGGAAGACTTTATATTCTGTTAAATCACATTGTTGCTCTTCTGACTGTAAAAGTAGTACTTGTTTATTGAGGGGCTTAGAGAATCTTCATTAAGTAAAGAAGAGTATTAAACATAACCAAAAAAGTCTGAAAGTAATCAATAATTTCACCCAAAGTTAATTACTGCTAACATTCACAGAATTTTCCTATGAAAAATGCACAGAAAACTCAGAATACTTTGTCATCTAAACATTTTAAATCATACTGGTTTCTACTGTAACCTCTATTTTCCATTAACAGAATATCATGTAAATGTGAGGGTTTCAAAAAAATTGGTATCAAGGTAGAGCCAAAAGATAGTGGACTTTTTCCATGAACTTTTTGAAAGCCCTTGTAGTTTCCTATTTGAATAAGAGTTTTGTAGCCTGTAATCTATTTAATCAGTACCTTCTTTAGCAACTTTTTATTTACCTTCAATATTTGCACCTTTCAACAATTGTATTTTGCTTACCTCTGATTTTATCTTGATGCTTGTGTGCATCTTTTAGTATCGTGACGTCACACATATCCACACCTTTCATGTCTGTCACCTTGATGGATACGTAAGTTATTGTCTGTGATGTATTATTTCTGTGTTTGTGTATAGAGAGGACTACTGGTGAGTGACTTTTCTAGAGTTTATTTAGTAATTCATTTATTCATATGACAAATGTTTAGTAAACACACTCTGTGAGGTGTTGGAGATGGTGGTGAGGTTCCGACCCTGCTCTTGTGGACGCTGTAAGTCCAGGACACTCACTCCTCTCAGCACACTCAATATATATACTGAAGCGAGGGAACGTTTCTCGCCTGTGATGTCTACGCTGCAGGTGGCGAGGGGCAGCCTCCCACGATGCTCCAGTGCCTGCATCTCTGCAGAAGGGAAGATGGACGGAAAGTCCAAGCCTACCTCCATTTCTCTGTCAATGTTCTTCCTGCTGTATCCCTCCTCTAGGCTTCCTATGGCCCACACCTCTCTCCCCATGGATTCCTTCACCCACAGGCTGGGCTCCTCCAGTTCCACCACAAATAGCCACGGGGGTTCCAGTCTTTACTGCAGTGATAGAATTAGAAGGGAATTGCTGTTGCTGTTCACTCGGGTCTCATAAAAGGCCTCAACACTGATGTTTTGCTTCACTTCTGTCAAACACACTTTATTTCTGAAGGTGAGGATGACTCTATACATCTCCTAAAATCAAGCATCTCCAAGACTTTCCTGCACACAGCGAGGCAGCAGAACAGAGCATAATCTGTCCCTATCACCCCCTACCCAGATTCAACGACTTTCAGTTTTGTTAAAGCCCTTGGAGGCTGTGTTTCATTGCTTTGCCCAACACACATTAGATGAAGATGCTCGTGATGCGATGAGTTCGCTTGGAGCTTTCCAGATACATCAGTGCCCTGCGGTCAACGAGGTAGGACAAGACTTGGAGTCTTCGTGTTCTCCTCTTTGTGACACATTGTCTTCTTGGTCAATTGTCCCTTTGAGTTCCCTTTTCTTACTCAGGTTTGAGTTCTGTCTTTCAAGGTTTGCTTGCTCGCTTGCTTCTTTAGGTGTTATTTTTTTTTGGTGATACCATAAAGGAGGCGTGAATGAGAGTGCCAGGAAGCAGCCTCTTGTGTCAACCCAAACCCAACCCAAGGCCATCGCAGCAATGTCGCCTCACAGCCGCCCGTTAGGATGGGTAGAGGTGCCCCTGTGAGTTTCGGAGACTGTGGCTCTTTGCGGGGGTAGAAAGCCCCGCCTTTCTCCCTCGGAGCTGCCGGTGGTTTCAAATTGCTGCTTTGCAGGGAGCAGCCCGATGTGTGACCACGACAGCACCAGGGCGCCTTAGTCTTTTCTACAGGGCTCTGAGAAATGACCCAAAGCGAGCCATCGTTCTCAGAGTTTTCTTATTTTCACTCATTTAGACTGCACAATAATACCATGGGGTAGATATTACCGTTATCACTTTTTGTGCACGAGGACGCATAGGCACAGAAAAGCCAGACACTTTATCAAGGTCCCAACAGCTGAGGTGGGGAAGTCAGGCCGTGAAGTCCCAAGCTGTCTAGCTCCAGAGTCTCCGCTCTCAAACAGTCCGCCTACAGCATCTGAACAGCTGCCGGACTCAGAGGGGACCCTCGGGTCCTTTGTAGTGTGCCCTGCTGCTAGCCAGTTTGTCCCTAATTCAATGATTAAATCAAATCACACAAACATATCACCCTGAATATTAATATATATTTAACAAATATTTTCCTTTTTCTCCTTCCCCCATGATTCTAAGTAAATATGTGGTATAATCACTTCAAATAGGGTTTCAATGTCAAATTTATAGCAATGGGTCAATTTGGGAACCATTCTGAGATATTTTTTACTTTTTCACACTACTAAATTATGCAGGTTGGTTTGCAGTACTAAATGATGCAGCATTTTTGGGGAAATCATCTTTGATGAGTTCTATGTGATAAAAATGAAGTGTAAGAGAACAGACATGGTGATGAACTGCATCTATGGAATATAAAACACTGTGTGCTGTGTGGAGACAGTATCAAGACAGACTGGCAGGATGAAACAATGTATTGTACTTGCATCTCAATGGGAAAGGAATAAAGAGCACTTGGCAAAAGGATAAAAGAGATTTCAAATTTGTCATTTAAAAAAATTTTTAAGTGGAGCAAAAGCAAATATAAGATATTACTAATGTTTGCTTTTCCTGATTCACAAAGGGGCTTTATTATAGTTTTCATGATACTTTCCCATATTTTAAACCACAAAACCAATCTAATCAAATAAGATATATTTCCCCAGAGAACCTGAGTCTTCTTTTTTTCTTTTTAATCCCCTAGTTTGCCAATGAAGACATTGTCATGATCTTTGAAAACATTTTACAATTTACAGAAACCATCGAATTTAATACAAGAGCCTAGGGGAAATGTTTTCATTTTATAATGTCTAGGCAAAGGTAGAACTGTACACATTTATGAACAGGTTTATGAGTCAAAATGAAGTTCTACATGAAACCACAAAACGTGCAGAAGAATGAATGTCACAGAGGAAAGCTACCTTTCTGACTAATCACATCAGTCTGTCGATGCTTCATGGAGATGTGAACAAAGGGGAGACATGTCTATTTCTCTAAGTGCAAGCTGGGATACGTCAGCATAATCCCCAAGGCATGCTAACTTTCCCAGTTCCAGTTGTAATGAGATAGCAAAATCAGAGTTATTTAAGTTTTAAACCTGCCATCAGCTCTCTCTATAGTCCAAGGTAAATCATGTACTGTCTCTGGGCTTCAGTTCCTTCTCTGTGAGATAAAGAAATTGGTTGGCCTAAATGGTTAT